AATATATTTATAAATTTTAATAGTGGTTCTCAAATAGCAACAAATTAATATCAACTATTGGACAATACATTTCAGAAGCATCAAAAGAAGAGCTATATAAAGACGACCCTTTATAGGTATAATTGATTTAGAAAATATCGAGAGTCAAAAGCCTTCTTTATTCCAAAAAATCTCAAATCTTAGTGAGTAGAAACAACTTAAGGAAATTGGATTGTCAAAACAAAAAATTCCATTTAACCAGCAAAATATTAAAGCTTGGCTCAAGAAAAATGAAAATGAAGTAAAGAAAGATGGCAAACAATTAGTTGGTGATATTAAGCATATTTGAAATAATTCATATTATCAGAAGAGATCAAACCCTATAAATGAATCAACTTTTATATATGATATCTTACCATCTATAATTCATTTTATTTTTCTGAGATTCTTTAAACATTGGATCAAGCTCAAAGTCTTTCAGCAAAAAATCACAGCATTCAAAAATTTGACAATATAATTAGATATTTTACAGGAAGTGATAAAAATTTTTATGAGCTCTTTTTTGTAGAGGTATCATATGGACCATTTCATCAAGATCCAAAACCTCATATCAATGATGATAAAAAAAATTAGACAAACTAGATAAAGATTCAATTGACCAAATCAGTAGATTATTAAATTGAAAGAAAATTCTGGTTATTTTAGTATATTTTTTTTTAAGAAGAAATTTTTTTTATCTTATGGATAAAAAAATTTCATCTGTATACAAGAAATTATTAATAGGACATATACAAATCCCATTGTTTAAATGTTCATATACTATGTTAAATGATTTTTTTTTAGAATTATAGAATATTAGATTATATTTATCTCATATTTTTTAGAGAATGACTATTTTCACACCCCATTTTTGCTAATGCCACCCCAGATATCAAAAGGTGCTCTGGAATAGAAATTTTTATTAAGTAAACCCTTCTTTTGATCTTAATAAAAGTTGTTCATCAGGCCTTTCTGGTTCTAATGGTAGTAAAATCATTATACTTGGACCAGTAGTTTCTAAGATATTTATATCTGAAGTTAGCTAACATTCATTCACTTTTTAGAAAAAACTGCTAGTCTGATTTTAATGATTTTACTAC